TGGTAGACCCTAGACCCTGGTAGACCCTGGTAGACCCTGGTAGACCCAAAACCCTGGTAGACCCTGGTAGACCCTAGACCCTGGTAGAAACTAGTAGAAAGTGAATTATTTTGTAACTCAGCGTTTTTGAATTATTTTGTAATTCATTTACGTCATGGTCTCGCATCTTGTTCAGGAACCAATGCTAATGCTGCTAAATTTTTCATAGTACGACGACTAATGTTATTTTCAAGAAATTCTTTTTTCAGACCAAGCTCCTGTAAAAAACGAAGAAAAATCACTATATATAGCAGAAAATAATATTAAACTTACTGAAATATTCCTCCAAATATTTTGCTTAAAATGAAAAAAACAACCAAATATTTGACTTTGAGGATACACAACAGCAGATGCATTTTCTGCTCCTTTTTCGAAATCTATTGTTATATAACGTGGTACGCGTTGAACATGCTGTTGTACTACTCGAAATAATGTTTCATATGTTTCTTCTTTTTTATTTGGTAAAAGAGAATATATTAACGGTAATGTTTTTCCACGAATTAAGCCATGAATAGAATACGTTTGCTCAAATAATTTTGGTGCAACCTATGAGTTCAACAACAAATATATTATAAGGTTTAAATATTATTTCAAATACATACCGCGAAGGTACCATCGCAATGCCATACTTCACGCCCATTAAGAAGATCCAGTTGGTCTCGACTTGCAAATATTAATAATCGATTTTGATTATCATCGTTACCATATAGTAAAAATTGTTGATTTGAAGTTCTTAATTGAAATTTAAGTGGAATAACAATTTCACTAAACGAAGTAGGTTCTTTTGGAATATCATTATCCTTTCGGATACGCTGAACTGAACGTTGTGATGCTAAATATTGTGGAATAACAGCAGCCGCGTCTGAAGATAATTTTAATCTTGCTTCTTGAATTATTAAACGTGGTGGATCATGAGAATTTTCAGCTTTTTTCGAATTTCATAATTATATACAGCTTTTTCAATTTCTTCTGGATTTGGTGCTTGACATGTATGATTTTTATATGCTTCATAAATATTTCCATCAAATCGAGCACGACCTTTGCACTTGTCTTTGATACACCCGATCTGTCACGACGATAACGAAAGCCCTCGAAGAGAAGTTGATCTTTATTCTTACTTGAAAGAATGATAGTCATAGCTTTGACTTAAAAAGTTATCAAATGATATCGAGATTTCAATTTCTTCATGTTCTTTTATTTAATCCACTTTATTTTAAGTCTGATTTTAATCATATTTCTTTGTTCTTAATTAATTAATCCTATGATCTGAATTAAAATTTTATTCTTATCATTAGTCTAATAACAAAAATAGAACAATTATTCACTACAGATAAAATGAATTAAGGTGAATGAGTGAAAAAAAATTCGTGTTGTAAGTGTCAATGAAGCAATACGATGCGCGGAAATGTCCATGCACGAACATGTCGGTCAATCCGAAAATGCATCATGTTGATAAGAAACTTCAAAAATATGTTGTGAGTCGATAGAAAATGTGTCGGATTATTCATGAAAGTAATTAGCCTAAAGCTATGAAATATTTTTCTGCGTTCGTTCAGGTATGAATAAATGCTGTTGCATATATAAATATAAAGATTTGGCTACTGTGTATTCAGTGAAATATATTGAGTAGTATTTGCACAAGTATTACCATTCGTGCATGATGCCAAGAAGCAATAAGACTTTTTAGAGAAGGAGTCGATTAATCCTTTCCAACCGGCTATTATAAGACACGTAAGAAAAAAGTCTTTTCGTGCATTTTTTGTTGCTCATAGACGATAAAGATAGGAAAAGTATATTTTTCAGAACCAATGAGTGCTTCGGTATGTAATGGTTTGAAGTATCAATTCGAATGCGCCTGGTGACTAGTGAAAAAGGGGAAACGGAGAGTTGCTCGCAGGACAGTTGTTCGTCGGACAGTTACTCGCAAAACTAGTTCGCTGAATATACCGGGTGGGTCAAAAGTAAGGAAAAATAGTATTTTTTTCCATTTCTATCTTATAGATCGTCGGTTAGGTCTCATATTTATACCACATATACTAGATGATATAATTAAAAGATTAAGCATATGAACGATATTTAGATGTAGTGTAATTGATTCGAAAACATTCAAATGCAAAATGACCCACAAGAAGGAAAAA